GAGGCAAATTGCAAAAGCTCCTTTATCCTTTGCGTCCCAAGTAATGCAGCAGCAGAAGGGAGGGCACTGTCCATTGCAGGCAAGTTATTGCTTTCAAGTAGCTTACAAATGTGCTTGGTGAAATGCAGCCTCAGCTAGCAGCCTGCAGTAGCTGCCTTTCTGGGGGAAGCTTTGAAAGTGAAGGTACTACTCATTTGTCAGAGACAACACTGGACTAAGCAAAGGAGACACCCTCACAGCCAGAAATGCTGGATTCTGCATAAAGACCACATGCTGTCCCATGTACGTTACACCTTTCGTTTCTAATCCCAGTTTCTGGGTCTGTTGGAGGTGCCAGTAAGTGTGCACACTTCTTGCTTCTGGTCAGGAGCCTTGTTTTAGTACTGAGGACTCCACAGTCACGCAGAGGAAACCAGTCTGACCAACCTGCCAATGGTATGTGTCTCCAGCGAGCTGTGCAGAGGACCCTGTGAAGCTGCCTCCCCAGGAAGGTTCCTTATGGTGCCTTCTTGCTAGAAGCTAGAGCTTTTCTATTGCACAAGGAGGCTCTGTGTCCTTGGGCTATTCTTTCCTTTTAATCCCTCCCATTTCTAACTTAGACGATCATGTTTCCCACATTAGTGCCTAGAGCTTCCAAGTACTGCTAAGCTCCTGTCTTCAGTGTGTTCATAGAAAGTTCCACAGGCTCTTTGGAAACTTATTTCCACTACCTTGTCTTCACTCTGTTCTTCTGCAAGAACTTAAATGCTATGAGCATTCAGTTCTGTCTGTATTTTTGTGTTTAACCCATACAGTAGTTCTTTCCCTTCTTGCTGTCTCTCTTCTCTGTAACCCTTAAGTATCTAAGTAAGGGTAGAACACAGTCTGACCTGTGGTGTCTCCAAGATGAGCCAAAGGGGTCTTGTGAGGAAAGCCAGTTGGGACATATGGCAGATTTGTGGTCTGCAGGCTCATGTGAGAGGTGGCAGGAGAGAGATGGGCACTGAACTCCAAAGGGACACTGTGTGAAGGAGCAGCCTGGATAGCGGAGAGGGAAAAAAGATGTTTGGAATATAAACCTATGGAAACCAATTACTGAACGCAAACTAATGGTGCCAGATTGTTTTCCTTATTGCTTTGCCCTGCAAAGCAGGTTCCTTCAGATGTATCTACTGTGTCCCTTGATAACCTGGAGAATACGTGTGCATGTTTCACTGAACTTGTTGCTTCTGTGGTTCTCCAGGAAACATCTTCCCCTTTGCCCCCTCTTTGCCTCTTGTGTGTCAACGTCTCATCTGTTCGCTTATGTGATCTTCGATTTGGGATCTCCAATGAGTTTCAGGAAAGACTGAGGTAATTGATAGGGCTGTAATTATCAGCCTCCTTTCTCTGACTGGAGATGGATGCTAACAACCCTGTGCTCAGGAGCTGGTAGGAGTCCCTGTTTCTTTTCTCACGTGAGGCCCCCAGGTGAGCTCTGAAGCAGATCAGACTGAAGGGAGGAATACGGGAGGATCCCAGCGGGATGGTCATGCTGACAACCTTTCTGGCGGGCTCAGATGCCGTTGTTGCGAGAGCTGAGCTGAGCAGCAGTGCCGAGTGCGGCCCGCACGCAGCTGGGTCGCGGCAGCCTTGCGAAGCAGCGAGGGAGCCCGCAAGGGCTGTGGACTCTGCAGCAGGGAGTTGTGCGACTTGTGAGCTACCCACTGCTGGTCTGGGAGCAAAACAAGGGAGCTGGCCATGGCGGAGAGCAGGTGCTGGTGGAAACGCAGAGAGAAACAGCTTGTTTTGAAAGATCCAAGCTCTCTTAGCATAAGCAGAGTGTGACCTGTGTGTGTCAGCCAGACTCCCCAGGGCTCATGTGGGTCTGGAAGAGGCTCTCCTTGCAAGGCTGTTGACAGCAGTGTTTCAGCTTCCTGCAACGGGATGTTGGTCTGGGAGGAGGAGGCAGACATGGCAACATAAGCTATGGTAGTAAAGCCTAGCTAGAGAAAGGTTGCAGGGGACTCTGGAAAACTTGCTTGGGGGAAATCCAGAAGGGCATTGTAGAGAGGCATACAAATTCTGAGTAGATCCATTCCCTTTCAGTTGTTCCAGCCTTAGTGTTTTGCTTTTCCAAGGTCTCTGCAATGCAACTTGCACGGAGCTGCACTGGTGCAGTGTGGAAAGGGCCTGGTTTGCTGACAGTGGGTTGGAAGGGATGTGGAAACATTCCTATATCTGTCTCCGCTGCCAGGTCACCTCTCCAGCAGCCCCACTGGAGAAGGCTGCTTACCAAGGATGCGTGTCTGGAGAGACAGGCCTCCCCTGCTTATCCGTGGCACAAGCAGCTAAGGAAGCTTAGCTGTGTTGTCCTACTAATATGTTTTGACATTGAGCTGGAAGGAAAGAGCTGGAGGGGTCCATGGGCTCATGGGCTCTTTGGTTTTGAAGTTTTTCTTTGAGCCTTCTGGTAAAGGGTCCAATTTTTTTCTCTGCTGGTGATGCTGGGAACCAGCTAGTGGCATATGGGTGGACGCAGTAAGTTGTGAATCCAGTGGTTACTGGGAGGTTTGGGAAAGCCTTGTATTAATGTAAGTGAGAGATAAAACCCCAGAACATTCACAGCTTGGAGAAAAATCTTCTGATTCCTGGACTTGCAAAACACTGCATGCATTGGCTTCGTCTGGCTGTTCTGCTCCTAAGGAAAGGTGTCACCCTTGATTACTATTTTATCTGCCGCTGAAATGGAGACTCTGAGATCATCTCATGAGCTCTGGAGCCCGGTCACCTGTGTGTGGTGGAGGCGAGGAGGACATAGGTGTGTGTGCAGACCAAGAACTGATGGCCCAACGGAGCTGCCTGCCGGTAGATGGTGGTGCTGGAGCAGCGGCATAGGTGTAGTTTGTACTCGTCATAACGGGTGATGTGGGGATGAAGGCAGGGCAAGGCTTGGTGCTTTCCCTCCTGGGCGCTGGTGCCTTTCACCCCCTGAAGCGGGTCCTGTCACTGCCTCCCCTGAGGACAGCCGGTAGGGTGCCCTCTCTCTAGGCTGCTCTTGTTCCTCCGTACTGTGCACAGTGCTCGGAGGCAGAGCATCCCTCCTCCCCGGACATCAGTGCTGCATCTGTCAGCACGTCCGTGACCCCTTTGCTTCTAGGCAGGGCTCTGACCTCTGTGCATTGGACACTTGCCCAGCTCTTTTGTTGCTGCCCAGAAATCCTGCACACTCTTTGACAGAGCTGAGGGATGCTGGGGAGGGAAAGCAGGAGAACAGCAACGAGATGTTGAGGAGGAAAAGGAGTGAAGGGCAGTGCTGGAAACAAGATGGACCATGATTATCCAGTCCTCCAGACTTCCATGACAGTGTCCAGATAAATGTGTTGTATAGGGAAGCCACTCGGCAGAGAAATAAATGGAGAGGGCTCAACCCAAGGCCTGGCGGGTTGTTCCTCCCCAGAAAGGTCTCCGTACCCTGGGAGCATCCTTAGCCCATGAGATGAGACCTGAAACTTTTCCCATTAAGCCTAGAAGCCTATAGGAAGGGAGTTTAGAAGGTTGGATGTGTGCTGGGTGGTGCTGACCCTCTACTTTGTAAGCAGCTCACCTCTTGAGATGGGTGCAATCCCTTGTGTGTAACTCCTGGGGACAGGCTGGAGCCCAGAGTGACAGCAGGGTGGCCTGGTTGAGGGCAGAGATGCTGCACAGCTTCTGTCACAAATTAAAAAGGTACGGGTCAATGATACAGTTTGCTGTGATGTGCCATAGAGTTCTTGGAGGGGAGCATGGAAAAAGTTCCCTTTGAGATGAGCATCTCTGGAGCAGGGTAGGACAGATACCATAAAGGTAAGAAGCTCCAAGCACTTTCTGCTCTGTGCCCTCACTGCAGTGCAGGTGCAACCCCCCCGGGAGGGGTAGCAGGGAGGATGTTTTCCTTTGCAAAGTCTTGAACAAACAAGAAAATGTTGGGGGCTCTGAAAGATGCTCTCAGGCAAAAATTTAGCAATCCTTTAAAAAGCAAAACAAAACAATTTCCTGGCCAAAAAGCTGTCACTGTGTTTTTGTTCTTTTCCATACAATACAGAAGATGACAGATACAGCATTTATATCCAGATTCCACCAAGGGTTTACTCTGTGACCTTTTGGATATGCGTGTGGGTCTAGATTTCTGAATCACAGATACCTGAAATCGCCATACCAATGCTGTGGGATTATTTGAGCTTGCCTTCAGAGGTACTGAATAAACCTGGTGTCAAGTGCAAGGAGACAGACAGCATGGCTCCATGCTGCACATGCGAGAGGTCCTTGCCAGCGCCTTGCATGGCTGGCATGAGCTGAGCAGGAAAAGGTTTGCTGCCCTCTGCACAAACCAACATGGCCCGGAGTCCTTTGGCACTGCGGGTATCTACATGTGAAGAGATAACATGTCCCCTAGCTCAGGGCATTACGGCACAAGATCATTTTCATGCACTTGCAGAATGTTTTTCTGTTTAAGGACTTGTGCAAAACTACTGACAATTTCCCTGCTAAGCCTTACAGAGCTCAAGAGCATTGCTAACCTGTCCACCCCTGATCTACAAACTTATTTTCTTAGCTCTGTTTTACCCACTCAGGCTTCCCCTGTAGCAAAAGATACTTGACTCCTAGCCTATTTAAGACCTGTTTTGACAATGTTTTCTGTCACTGATGGGTACCAAACCCCTTCCTCTTCTATTAGCACATCTGAGAGGAATTAACAGTTCTTGTAGGGCAGTGCTGTGATAGCTTTGAAGAAATTGAGTTAGGGCCTCTGGGTCTCCAGTGAATGTGAGCTTGCCTTGCAGTGTGCAATGTCGTTTTGTCCCCTCCAAGGCTCAGACTTGTTTCCCTTGTCCTTCAGTACAAATCCTAGTTCTCACAGCCCACGGAGATGCAGACCTGAGCACGTTGGTGCCAAAAAACTTGCACACGCACAGAGGACTTGGCATTAGCAGGGGTGAAGGGACTGAGAGTTATGTTCCTACCCTGGGGCCAAGCTGACTCTTGAATGTTTCTTCTCCCAGGACTACACCATCACCATGTACTTCCAGCAGAGCTGGCGGGACAAACGTCTAGCGTACAATGACCTTCCTCTCAACCTGACGCTGGATAACAGGGTGGCTGACCAGTTGTGGCTGCCTGATACCTATTTCCTGAATGACAAGAAGTCCTTTCTGCATGGGGTGACAGTGAAGAATCGCATGATTCGGCTGCATCCTGATGGGACTGTCCTCTATGGCCTGAGGTAAGTCCAAGGGGAATCTTTTGTCGATTGTGGCAGGATACAATGACATCTCGTTTCAATTTTCACCTGTTCTGAAGAGATTCTGTCAGTTTCTTTAAGCACAGGCAAGGATCCAAAAGATCAAAACCTACTCAAATATTGCTCAAATTTAAGTATCTAATCTTTCTCCTAGCTGGAAATGGTTGTTTTCCTATGTTGACATAGACAAATATGGGAAATGGGAATAGACAGTTCTATGCATTTCAGGTCTCTGTCACTCATGTTGCATAACACTTCCATTTGAAACACGTTCTAAGTTGCTTTTAATTTTCCTCACGTTTGGCCTGTGGAGATGGGACTTCATTAGTTTGGGATCTAAGGCCAAATTTCATAGCATTTGAGCCAAAACACTTCTGTCATTTTTGCATATGAGATAAGAAGCATGTTTTTGTACTGTTAAAAAATGTCTCTTGTCTTTACCAGAGCAATTCTAGAGACTGAGGTTTGAAAGTTGATGTTTAGTAGGGAAATAGTCCTCAGTGAGGAGGCTTTTTGTGGTATCTGGAATAAATGAATGTAGCCAAGTTCACAGCCTTTGAAGTGCTGTGCTGATGTGCAGTGCAGGTGGCAAAGGTCAGCCTTACTTTATTATCTGGATGTGTGAAATGCCGGAGAACATAAGAAAGTTAAATGAGCGGGAGCAGAGGGCTGAAAGAGAAGTTTGCAGCCATAGGTAAGATTTAGATGAAGGCTTTGGACCCTAGAGCTGAAATATAGGCAGTGATTTTTCTCAGTCCCCTATTTGTCTGCTTTGAGCTGTGCTTCTCACTTTTTTTTTTTCCCTCCTTTTTCAACTACCAAAATTCACAGCTGGCTTTTAGACCTGCCTCCACATTCACAAATGATTGCGATAGCAGCTCTGGGCTTACATCCCAATGCAGCAAAGGGGGAGGAAAGACCTTTCTCTCCCAAAGAGGGTACACCCACCCATTCCCATTTACAGTATCAGCTCCTCTGCTGCTTCGTGGTTTGTGGCAAAGTCTGATTTCTATTATGATTTCCTTCTCTTTAACTAGCAGGGCTGTCTTTGGGAGGGCAGGGCTGGATGCAGGCATCACAAATCAGAGGTTGCCCAGAGCCTGCACTGCCAAGGAGCCCTGAGCAAGCTTTGCTTGCACAGCAAAAGGCATGTAGCCTTCACCCAGATTTAACACAGATTTCCCGTTTTGTGTTAAAGCAAGAGCAGGGCGAGAAAACACTTGGACCTGGGGGAGGCAGGAGCATGAACTTCAGCCACTCAGGGAAGAGGGGGAAAGAGGTGTTAAACTTGTGCTTGCTTCACCAAAGCTCAGGTAGCTCTGTGCTGAGTTAGCCCACCTCAGCAAAGAGCTGCCTCCCGCAGCACTCAGGAAGCCTTCGTGTGCACCTGCATGGCTAAAGAAGCAGAAATGCTAGTGCACACATATCAGCTTCAATTTAGTCAACTCAAATAACGAGCGGCGCACACCCTGCAGCACAGGTGACAAGTCCTTCGAGGGTTTGCACTTGTGCTAGCTCCAGATAGGAAGGCTGCGCCAGCGCCTCCTACACCTTTGCTTCCCTTCCCAGTTCTAGTCCCAGTCCCCAGCCTGCAGCACCAGTCCCAGGGCCCGGCAGTGCTGAGAGGGGAACTCTGTGCTGGCCTGTGCAGGTGGGTACCGCAAAAGGAAAGTTGCATTCAGGCCCCAAGGAAGAAAATGACAGGCTTTGCCCCCGTTATTTCCAGGGCGTTGTGTTAACTTTTGGCTGTTTTTCGTGGAAGCTGCTCTCTTGCCCCTGGAGAAAACAACAATTGCAACAACCAAGCACTGAGCAATGGCAGCTACTATTCTCTTCAGTGGGAGTTCCTGGGGCTGTACCTCAGGTCAAAGTGCCCTTTTTTTTCCTATTGTGAAAGTACACTGGGTTTTGAGGGATAAATCAGGTTCCCTCTGAGTGCTAGAGGTCTCTCTAGCTCTATTCATAGGGGTATGAGCAACGTTTTCGTTAGGGCTTCCTTTCTGCATTGACACCCACACCTGTGATTTTGCTGACAATAGGAGTCCTAGGAGCAGTTTTGCAGGTGCAAATAATTGATATATTCAAGAATATATAGACACATGCACAGCAGGTGTAAGAAGGCAAGAAAACAGTGATCACATTCACCTGTGTACCCTTTATCACCGTAAAATTGTACCTATGCTTGCCTCGCAAAAAGGAGGAAAAATGCAGATCCTCCCTGTATTTTCAAGCCTGCTCTTGTTGGCTTCTCTAGTGTCCTCTGGAAGGATTCTTAAAACGGAGCTGTCCTGATAGAAAAAGCCCGAAGGAGGCAATTTCTGCTCCTCCTTGTTTGTTTGCTTGTTTGCTTTTCCGCAAGCAAGATACCACAGCTCTGCTCCTCCTGCTACCTTCTTGCTAGTCGCTTCCCTTTCCTTTGAGCTGCTCCCGTAGCAAAGTGACTCAATGATGCTATTTGTGGCACAACAGTCCCTTTTCTTTCAAGCAGTCTCTGATGTCAGAGACCTGAGAGGATGACACCCCGGCAGGCCCCGGCTCTGAGCACTGATCCAGCAACCTGCAGGATCAGCCCCAAAGCCTGAATCAGACCCCAAGGTCCAAGCTAGCTCACACAGGTGTCGACAGGTATTTTTGTTTCTTCAGTGAGACAAGATCAAGCTTCAGATAACTTGTTTTCATGAGTAAATGAAGCCCCTTATTCCCCCACTTTGCTCCAGTGTGACGGTTCTGTGTTGAAGAAGCATATGCTCGTTTTTGATAGAATTAGCAAATAAGTGGATGAAGGGAGTGCAGCAGATGTAATATAACCTCATCTTAGGAAAGCATGCGATACAAAAGCTTACTCCCAAATTAATTCACACTGGGCTTGGATTAAAAGCTGGCTGCCAAGTCTCCAACAAAAGGGATGCATAAACAGCAATGGACTGAATCGGGGGAGGCAGTCCTGGGGCTGCTGCATGCATGGGAGTTGGGACTGGAATTTCCTAGCTTCTTCCTTTGCAAGCTAGCAGACGGCATGAATCCCAGAAGGAAAAATGGGGGCTTCGAGTCCAGATACAGCCAAGAAGGTGCCCTTATCTGCGTGAACATGAAGGATGCATAGGCTATGATGGGAGGTTACGAATCCGTCTGAGCGACCAGGGCTTGAGGGAAGCATAACCTGGCACAATGGTGTCTGAGCTTGTCGAGCCCGCAAACACGTCTCTGGAATTAAAAGTGCCCCTCAAACACAGGGAAGTGTCACCTGTGGCACGCAGCATGGAGGTGCTAAAGCAATATAGAAAGCCCGCAGTATGAAGGGAGGCTTGCAGCAGCGACCCAGAAAGGCAGGGTTTTCAGTTGTTAGGGCACTGGAGCTGGGCAGGTAAAATGGTGAGGAAAGGCCAGCTAGAACCAGCTGAATTTAATGTATTTTCCACTCCTAGTGTTTTTTTGTCAGAAATGACAATGGTTTCATCAAATTTTAAACAGAAAAAAAAGAATATTTCACTTAAAAAAAAATGTTTCTGAAAATGTTGACATTTCTGTCCTAATTTTATGCAGAGAATTCTTCATTTTTTTGTCATTACTTCCCTCACTATTTCAGGATGCCTGTACTACCACTGCTGATGTTTGAGTATCATACAGACTCATCAAAGGCTTTCTCTGGACCTCAGAGACTGTCTAGCCCACCCTGGCTGTAGCATTCAAAAAGCTTTGCATTCTTAGTCTTCACATTTGAAGTCATTAAAGGCACCTAGAATATAGTATGGACTGAGATTATTTCCTTTTCTAGACCATGTTGCCTTCGTATGGTGGTGAAACAAGTGGACCATTGTCATATGCTAATGTCATTGATATTTCACTATCTGTTTTCAAAGACCTAAAAATAGAAAATCTGTAACAAAGCCGAAATCTTCATATGGTTGATCTGAAACCACATTGTGAAATGAGCTTAAAAACATCCCTCAGGGCACTCTTGAAGCTATTTGATTTAATTCTACTTAGGGACAAAACTGAATTCCAGCAAAACAGGTGCTTTGAGGCGCTCCAAGTGCATCCTGCAGCCCGCAGGGATGCGGAGGGGCCGGGCTGCTGGAAAGCAGGCGCGAAGCTGAGTGGACGGCAAGTGAGATGCAATGCCTGGGCTGGCAAGGAGCCCAGGCAGTGTAAACTGAGCAGCTGAAAAACTGCAGAGGAATTTGATGACGGAGAGAAATTCTCTCCTGTGCAGAGAGAATAAGGGATCTCCTGCGAAGGTGGTGGGGGTGTGAGTGCGAGTTTTGCTTTTTTTGTGCCCGTGATAGTCACTGCAACGAGGTGTGCTTCAGGGAGTAGGCAGTAGCAGTGCAATTTGGATGCATGCAAAGGTGCTGAGGCAAAGCAGGGCACTCAGACCGATGAGTGCTCTCCTGGGAAAGCCAACCCCTGTCATCCTCATCAGCGTAAATGTTCACTGCTGGAAGCAAGGGGGAAAGTGAGTTGTTATACTTCCGACAACTAAAAATTTACATTTTAAAAATGAGGAAAGCTAAGTGGATCTGCTTTGGCAGCACCTGGTTTCTGCCTTTCGGAAGCGAGTTCCCATCGCTCAGCTGCTTCCCAGGGAAGCCAGTCCCAGTCTCCAGCAAGGTCCTGCTGACCCGCGCACGGGAGGGATCATCTCCTGGGTGAGGCAGCAGCTTGAGCGCTCCCGTTAGCTCTCGTGAGAGAAGCTTCTCTGGAAAAGAGGAAGGCGATCTGGCCTTGCTCCCCCTTAGCAGGTTGCACAACAGAAACTGCTCCTTTGGCAACCTGGGAGAAGAGAAGTAGGTTTGTGTCCATCCAGTTGGCCCCTCGGTACAGATCTTGCAGATTTGTACAGTTGTCTCTATGGAGATCTACTATGGATCAGTGACTGACTGGAAAGATGCAGAGGGACAGGAGTGGGGTTGGGAGAAGGGTTGATTAGGAAATGGATTTAATCCGAAGCTTGGTTCCCTACTTGAGGTTAGGGACAGATC